AAGGTGACGGCCATCTTGAGGCCCTTGGGCGGGATGTCGCAGATGGAGGACTTGATGTTGTTCGGGATCCACTCAATGAAGTAGGACGAGTTCTTGTTCTGCACGTTGAGCATCTGCTCGTCCACCTCCTTCGTCGACATGCGGCCGCGGAAGAGCGCGGAGGCCGTCAGGTAGCGGCCGTGGCGCGGGTCGGCCGCCTGCATCATGTTCTTCGCATCGAACATCTGCTGCGTCAGCTCAGGCACGGACAGGCCGCGGTACTGCTGCGAGCCGCGGCTCGTGAGCGGGGCGAAGCCCATCATGAAGAAGTGCAGACGCGGGAAGGGCACCAGGTTCACCGCCAGCTTGCGCAGGTCGGAGTTGAGCTGGCCGGGGAAGCGCAGGCAGCACGTCACACCGGAGACCACGGCGGACACCAAGTGGTTCAGATCGCCGAACGTTGGCGTCGTCAGCTTCAGCGTGCGGAAGCAAATGTCATACAGGGCTTCGTTGTCAATGCACATCGATTCGTCCGAGTTTTCCACCAGCTGATGCACAGACAGCGTCGTGTTGTACGGCTCGACGACCGTGTCGGACACCTTGGGGGACGGGATGATGGAGAAGGTCATCATGATGCGGTCCGGGTACTCCTCGCGCAGCTTCGAGATGAGCAGCGTTCCCATGCCAGAGCCCGTGCCTCCGCCGAGGGAGTGGCAGATCTGGAAGCCCTGCAGGCAGTCGCAGCTCTCCGCCTCCTTGCGGCAAACGTCCAGCACGGAGTCGATCAGCTCCGCGCCCTCCGTGTAGTGGCCCTTGGCCCAGTTGTTGCCGGCGCCGGACTGGCCGAAGATGAAGTTGTCCGGGCGGAAGATCTGCCCGTACGGCCCCGCGCGCACGGAGTCCATCGTGCCGGGCTCCAGGTCAATGAGCACCGCGCGCGGCACGTAGCGGCCGCCCGTCGCCTCATCGAAGTACACGTTGATGCGCTCCAGCTGGAGGTCGGAATCGCCCTGGTACGTCCCCGTCGGGTCCACGCCGTGCTCGTCGCTGATCACCTCCCAGAACTTCGAGCCGATCTGGTTGCCGCACTGGCCGGCCTGAACGCACACGATCTCGCGCATATGGCCTTATCGCTCTTGATGTCTGCTGTTTTTTCTTCTTTCCTCACTGTCTTTCGCTCGCTGGCTGAAAGAGCAAGTCCACTAGTTCGATCTGCCCCGAGCGCAACCCGCAAACACCCGTTTTTTTTTTTCGTTCGGCGAGGGCGGTGCCACACACACACGCACGCACCGCGCGGGGCGACGAGGCAAAGCAAAGCAAAGCAGCGAAGGAAAAGGCGGGGGAAAAGCAGGGACGTTCCTTTTTCTTCCCCCCCCCCCCACGCGCCCGCCACGGCGGAGCACCGGCGGCGGCGGGAGGCGGAGGAGGCGGCGAGGGCGGCGGCAGAGCGAAAGAGCGAGGGGCGGGGGGAGCCGAGTCCCAGAGCCCACGGAGAAGAAACAAAGACAAAGACAAAAACAAACCCGAGAAAAATGAGGGGGTTGAGGAGAGAGAGAGAGAGAGAGAGGGGGGCACGCAGCAACCAGCAGCCGTCACTCTCCGGCGCGCCGCCCCCCTCCCCTCCCTCCTCCTCCTCCTCCTCCTCCTCCCACACCCCGCTCCCAACAGCGGCGCACTCCTTCCTTCCTCGCACCACACCGGCGCCCGCGGGGAGAATAAATAAAAGCGAACCCTACCAACGACGAACAGGGGCGCAGGAGCGGCTCACTCCCTAGTACTCCTCCACATCCTCCTCGCCCTCCATGTCCGCCGACTCCGCGCCGACCTCCTCGTAGTCCTTCTCCAGGGCGGCGAGATCCTCACGGGCCTCAGAGAACTCACCCTCCTCCATGCCCTCACCGACGTACCAGTGGACGAACGCGCGCTTGCTGTACATGAGGTCGAACTTGTGGTCGATGCGCGCGAAGACCTCCGCGATGGCGGTCGAGTTGGCGATCATGCACACCGCACGCTGGACCTTGGCGAGGTCGCCACCGGGCACCACCGTCGGGGGCTGGTAGTTGATACCGCACTTGAAGCCGGTGGGCGACCAGTCCACAAACTGGATCGTGCGCTTCGTCTTGATTGTTGCGACGGCAGCGTTCACGTCCTTCGGCACCACGTCGCCGCGGTACATGAGGCAGCACGCCATGTACTTGCCGTGGCGGGGGTCGCACTTCGTCATCATCGCCGCGGGCTCGAACACCGCGTTCGAGATCTCCGAGACGGAGAGCTGCTCGTGGTACGCCTTCTCCGCCGAAATCACCGGCGCGTAGCTCGTCAGCACGAAGTGGATGCGCGGGTACGGCACCAAGTTGGTCTGGAACTCCGTCAGGTCCACGTTCAGCGCACCGTCGAAGCGCAGCGAGGCCGTCAGCGAGGAGACAACCTGGCCAATGAGGCGGTTCAGGTTCGTGTACGTCGGACGCTCGATGTCGAGGTTGCGTCGGGTTAAATCGTAAATTGCCTCATTGTCAAGCATCGCCGCGACATCGGTGTGCTCAAGCAGCGAGTGCGTCGAGAGCACCGAGTTGTAGGGCTCCACCACGGCCGTCGAGACCTGCGGGGACGGGTACACCGTGTAGCCCAGCTTGGACTTCTTGCCGTAGTCCACGGAGAGGCGCTCCAGCAGCAGCGCACCGAGGCCGGAGCCCGTGCCACCGCCCACGGCGTGGTACACGAGGAAGCCCTGCAGACCCGTGCAGTTGTCCGCGAGCTTGCGGATGCGGTCCAGGCACAGGTCCACGATCTCCTTGCCGATCGTGTAGTGGCCGCGAGCGTAGTTGTTGGCCGCATCCTCCTTGCCGGAGATCAGCTGCTCGGGGTGGAACAGCTGGCGGTACGTGCCGGTGCGGATCTCGTCCACCACCGTCGGCTCCAGGTCGAGGAACACCGCACGCGGCACGTGCTTGCCCGCGCCGGTCTCCGAGAAG